CTGGATGAGAGCATATGCTGCTCTAAAACCTGGATATATCTTTCAGCATTGATAGTGCCTTTCCAGATGTGCAAGCTGCCCATTCTATGAGCACTAATGCACCCCCATACCATCAGAGATGCATGCTTTTGAACTGAGCGCTGACAACAAGCCAGAAGGCCCCTCTCCTCTTTAGTCCAGAGGATGTGGCGCCCATAGTTGCCCAAAGGAATGTTACATTTTGATTTGTCTGACCAGAGAACAGTTTACCACTTTGTGACAGACCATTTTAAATGAGCTTTGGCCAGAGAGGCTGCTGTGTTTCTGGATCATGAGAAATATAGCTTCCTGTTTGCATTATAGAGCTTTAACTTGCATTTTTGGATGGCACGGTGAACTGTGTTCACAGATTTTTGGAAGTATTCCTGAGCCCATGCAGTGATGTCCATCACAGAATCATGCCTGTTTGTAATGCAGTGCCGCCTGAGGGCCCGAAGACCATGGGCATCTAATATAGGATTTCGGCCTTGTCGCTTGTGTACAGAGATTTTTCCAGGTTCAGAATCTTTTGATATTATATACTGTAGATGTTGATATATTTAAAGTCTTTGCAATTCTACATTGAGAAACATTATCCTGAAATATTTTGACAATTTTTAGATGCAGCTCATCATAGATTGGTGAACCTCTTCCCATCTTTACTTCTGATACACTCTGACTCTCTATGATGGTCTTTTTATACCCAATCATGTTACTGACCTGTTGCCAATTAACCAAATGAGTTGCAAAATGTTCTTCCAGATCTTCCTTGTTAGTACTACTTTTTGTTGACTTGTCCCAACTTTTTTGAGATGTGTTGCTGCCATCATTTTTTTTAAAATTAAAATTGATATGTTTTCTATTTTCTATTGTGAATAAAATATGGGTTTGCATGACTTGCAAATCATTGCATTCTGTTTTTATATAGATTTTACACAACGTCCCAACTTTTTGGCATTGGGGTTGTAACATGTCACATAATGTGCCAGTACCTTCTCAAACAAAATTATTAAAGTTTAATATAAAACAAGATAGGAAGATTATTGAACACAGTAGACAAGGAGAAGCAGTACAAAAACTTTTTTACAATTTAGTTTAAAAGTCTTGGCCACCATTGGTTAACTCCTGTAGCAGAACTGCAGAAATAATAGGTGTCAGTAGCCCATCAGTGATTATTTGTGAACCAGCACATCAAGAATAGGGACTGAATATTTTTGATGCAATATTCATCTTGTTAGAACTAGTGATTGTAGCTGTCTATGACAAGAGACCCAGCTGGTCAAAGGTTGTCAAAACTGATGGCAACAAATTTGTCACTTGCAGTGTCCTTTCTGTTCATATTTTTTGTTGTTTTTGTTTTTTAGAGATAATTACTATATGTCAAATGTGGTGAAGAAAGCAAAGTGATCTATATAAAGTGTTATCATTAATAATGTGAGCCTGTAATGAGATATAAGGAATTTTCAGTGTATTGTAGTCAGTGTTGGGAGAACTAGAAGTCATAAAGTGCCAAAGTTCCATCAGCCAAGTGAGTTGTACTGCTGCAGAGATGACTATGAGGATAGTTTCTTGGTAATGCATCCAATATTGTATCACCCATCCTTATTATTTGATAGTGGGAGTAGTAGAGGTGGCACTCTATTCTAGTCACTCTGAGAGCATTGCAAGGAGTGTACTGTCAAAAGCACACGTGTGAGGATTGAGTAAGGACTCATGTACATGAGCGTTAAAACACGCGACCATATGCTTTTGGAGCTATTTCTAAATGTATCTGGAAAATGTAATAATTTTCTATGGCTGAATACACACCTAGACATTTCTCCTTTATGTAAATGCAACTACACCGAATGCACCTTCACACTGTAGGTGCATTCGGTGTAGTTGCATTTACATAAAGGAGAAATATTGCTTCCCGCAATCATTCATGCAGCTAAAAGTGTGTAAAGGGCATGTAAACACATGCACATTTAAAGTGACACAAAACTCGGAAGATAAATCTTAAAAATGCATTCAAGTACCTTAACTATTAACAAAAATGTATCTTATTTGTGTATCACCGGGCTGTAGATCCTCAGATCATCTCTGGAATGGTGCTGACACTGTCCTTCCTTCTGGAGGGTGGCTACTTTTGTTCCCCATGGTCCCTGTGTGTTGTAAAGTAGCCACCACTCCAAGCTCACTTCCATGATGGACTACAATTTTCGATGCAAATCAGTACACTAAACCTGAGATTGTAGTACAAAAGTAGCCACCTTCCAGAAGGAAGGGCAGTGTCAGCATGAATTCAGAGATGATTTGAGGGCTTACAGCTGAGTGATACACAAATAAGTTACATGTTTCTAGGGCACTGACAAAATTGTTAATAGTTACTTGAATGCATTTTTAAGGTTAAACTGCTGAGTTGAGTGTCGCTTTATACATCCCAGATCAATGTTTCCTTCATTTAAATATAACAAACCAAACAAATACAAATAAAGCCTAAGAACTGCCCAGAGAGACTAGAGGGAAGATCTGTGAAGAAAGAGTTAGTTACTCTTTCGCCCTCAAGTAAAAAATATCTGTCACTCCTACTGGGGCAGGAGTGGTGGAATACAGACACACTAATAGTTAACCAACCTAGCCACTGTACTTTGCCCCCTCAGATGCGGCAGCCATGTAAGTGCCATAAATAATCCAGAGAAACACGATGGGGTCTATTCACGAAGCTGCCGAAGGATCTGGCCGTAGCTTCGGCCGATCCTTTGGCTAGCTTCGGCCCCAGGACCCCTTCGGTTCAGTAGAAATGAAGGGGTGCTGTAGAGGCATCCCTCATGGTGTAAAGTTATAAGTAGCTACAATATACATTTTAAATGACAAATATATCAGTCATTAAAATCTTCCTCTCTATAGCAGGAGACATAAAACATTTGTACAATAAAAAGTATGATATGAAAGCCATCAAAACAAACAAAAATCAGTGTTTGCCAGATAAACAGCACAAGCCAAGTTTTTCACCCACTTTATAATATCAAAAGATGGCTGCCATGGGAAATACAGACAGCTACACTGTTGGAACTGGCAGAATAAAAGGCAATACTTCCCAGACTGTTTAGAATAAAACAATGCCAGATATCACTATGTGATGTCAAAGAGCATGACTTTTCACAGGCAATGACAGCTTTACAATGTATTTACACTTTTTCAGTCAAATTGAGAAACCCCCACTATATGTTTGCTGTGTTATATGATTTTCTGTTCACACAGCATATTCATTTATAGTAGGGATGCACGGATACAGTTTTTTTGGTATCGAGTACCGATATTTTTTACCAATACCGGAAGTACCATTTAGGAGCCCGGGCGGCGTGTAATGTCTCGCTGCCCGGCTACCTGATTAGCCGGGAAACCGTATCCATGCTCCCTGGTCACCATGAGGGAGCATGGACCCGGCTGCCTGGCAAACCAGGAAGCCTGCAGCGTGTAATGACTCAAAGTTCCGGTATCAGGATAGGCATGAGTACTCGCCCAAATACTCGGTATCGGCACCGATACCAATACTAGTATCGGTATAGGTGCATCCCTAATTTTTAGTTGTTTCATTGGAGAAGAATTATACCTAGGATTGCATGGGTAGCTTCTTGTGCTTTAAAATTATGGCAGGAGATGAGGAACATACTAGGGGACAGTTTTTTGAAGAAAAAAAAAAAAATACATTAACATACTGAACAATACACCACCCATGCCTTGAGATCTTTAACCCTTTGTTAGAACAGACAGTCCTGCACATTTAGAAACCAACTGATAATAAAATCTGCCAGCACAGTACAGACAGGGCTAATTAGGGCAAACACAACTCCCCGCCACCTCATAAATGTTACATAGGCAGAATTTAGTAGGATTTTTCAGTACATGTATTTATATAGCGCCGACAATTTACGCAGAGCTTTACATAGTTGCATTCACATCAGTCCCTGCACTCAAGGAGCTTACAATCTAAGGTCCCTATCCCACATGCCTACATACAGGGTCGATTTCGATAGGAGCCAATTAACCTATCAGCATGTCTTTGGAGTGTGGGAGGAAACCAGAGCACCCATAGGAAACCCACACAAACACAGGGAGAACATACAAACTCCTTGCAGATTGTGTCCTGACCGTGATTTAAATTATGCTATGAGAATAGGAACATGTTGCAACCATTTGGCATGGATGTGAGGGGTCAGGGGTACTTAAATGTAGGCGATGTTTTCAGATGTAATAAAGCAATTTCACTACCTACACTAAATAGTACATTAAACATACCTGAACAGACACAGCATGCCATTTATTTAGTATGTTTTCCATGGAGTCCATGTTACATCTGCATAGCTTCATTTGTATTCCATTTTAATTTGTCTGCACTAGATTATATTATCCAGCAGGTACAGTGCAGTCAGCTTTGTTATTGGCACACACCATGCTCACTCATTATTCTAGAAATGTTACTGGCAAGTCCAGCGTATGCACCACATTGACCTGTTTGGCTTTAAGTGGTCATACACAGACTAATCCGTTAGCTCTAAGCTTCTTATTTTGGTCTTTCAAACACTATGAAGGAGATCATTTTGTAGATAACATCTCTCATAAAATACATATGACAGAGGCCAGGAGCATGGCTCAATTTTGCTGGGCCTTAATGCAAAATATGAACCAGGGCTCCTCTTTCTTCTAACCTTCAAATCTGTCTTCAAAACAGAATAAATAATTAGCATGAAAAAGAGGAAAGAGGTAAAGTATTCCTCACTTGGAGTTGGAGAAATGCTATGGGCTCCATAATGTTTGTAACTTCTGCTACTCCTGTTTCTAGGACACTGACCAAAATCATATTTAGCTAATCATTTTGTCTTTTTTTTGTTATAAAAAATGTATTTGAATGGTATGCCCTTATTAAGAAAATGGCCCACTAAATAATAATAATAATAAATAGGTAAATAAATAAATGATGCAAGATAATAAACTCTTACCTTCTATAGGTCTTGGTACAAAATGTGACGATGGTTTGGTCTTTTTCACTCGGTTGCCTTTCATGATCTGACCTTCTTTACTAAGTCCCAAGAACCATTGACGGCCAGATTCCTGTTGTCGATAGACTGTCGAGGAATAGATGACATAGTAGTTCTCAAAAACAGACTCTTTGAATTTGCATTCTGGTGTAAAAATATCCTGTAATTAAAAAAGAAAAAAGGGGAACAATTAGCATCCTCACTAATGCAACATTTGATTTTGTTTTTTTTAGATAATAAAAAGGCTTTGATAAAACATGATAGATAGATAGATAGATAGATAGATATGCAAATGTTCATTTCTGCACTTTAATAAAGTTACACGTGTATACATCACATGTAATATATTTTAACTTTACACAGCTTTCAGCTTTAAAGTTTATATATGTCTAGGTACTACAAATTTTGAAAAGTTGTGACACATTTGGATAACTGTCAAAAAAGCATGTGTTGCTACTTTCCTAAAGATTCTATGAGCTGCACTGTGCATGGCTACCATCAGGTCTGGGTGTATTGTTCAACCTTTATACACAAAAAGTCAAAGTGTACGTACAGATCACCCATGGCCATCAAAAGTGGGGACCCCATGGACCACTGGGTCTCCAGGCTGGTCCACTGGCCAGAGGTTGCACAGTATGATTTGGAGATTCTGGCTTGCATTGCAGCCAGTATGCTGTCTGAGAGGGCCTTGAGCTGGATCTTTTCTTATGCAGAGGGGAATCCGCCTGTCCCCTGACGTTGTAGACTAGCTCATTTTCAAAAAAATGAACCATACTTGATTTAGCAATATTTTCAAATTAAAATTAATCAGATTGGGGTGCTGCTGCTGGATTTAAGCTAAGCTGTAAAAAGTAAAAATCAATGACACATCCAAAATATGTGATGCTAGAATAGAGTGGCACTGACAATTGTACTGTACCATAACACCACATACAGCCTAAAGGCATCTACCAAGCATGTCATTTAAATGATTAGTGCTTTTTCATGTCACCCCTGAAGTCGCAGTAAAAGGACCCTGCTGTATACAGGCACCCAGGACTCTCAGCCAAAGGGGCTGAGAGGGTCCAGAATGTGAACCATGTTATAAGGAAGGAGCTGGCTTTTCAGGTTCTTCCAGGTTTTTAGCTGGGATCTGGAGCTCTGGAGATCTCTTAGAGTTTTGGGTGGGATGAAATCTCCAGTCCTGGGACCAGGTGTTGCCAATGTCCAGTATAGCTGAATCAGGTGTCTGAGAGCAGCCTTATTAGGAGTCTGGACCAGAGTTCAGGGAGTTGGAGCTGTGTTGGAGTTGTGTGTGTGCAGGAGGCACACTGATACGGGCAGACTGAGGTGTGTGCTGGACGCACAAGGAACAGACGGGGGAGGCTGGGAGAGGTCAGGAAGGTTGGTGACCCAAGGGACCTGTTGGACACACTACTGGGAGAGTAGTGTGAGTATCACACAGAGGTGTGCTGAGAGGCTTGGCGCTGAGGAAAGCTACTGAGCAATACTATGGACTGTATATGTTGAAGAAAGAATCTATCCCTCTTCTGTCTCCAAGGCTACCTTTTATATAAATTACACTCATATTTGCCCTCTTAACCTGTCTCCATCTGTCTAAAAATCATTTTACATTTAATATTGGCTATATTTTCTTGGATGTCTAAATGGTTCTTGAAACACAATCTGTATAATACTCTACCCTCATTGATCTTCCAAACCACCATCTGTCCAACTATAAATGGCAATGTCATCCTGCCTAACTCACAAGTATGCTTGGTGCCACCCTAGACTCAGCCATCTCTTTCCTTTTTCAAATCCACAACATGCCCAAGTTCTACTTGTGCAGCATCTCCATGCTCGAAAGGCCATGTCTTCAGCCCAGGTAATCACTCACTTTGACTGGTGTAATATCCTTCTGTTTGATACTCCACTATCGGGATTCTCACCTCTAAAACTTATCATAAATGCTGATGCAAGACATATCCATCCCTCACACCACTTCTAATTCGCTGCCCCAATCAACCTGAAAATAAAACCCAAGTTACTATGCTCTGTGTTCAGAACACATCACAACTCGCTCCCCTCTTCTATATCTTATCCTAAACTAATGTCTTCTCTGTTTCACAGACTACTAATGTAATTTCAGCTTCATCCAATAAATTAGATTTCTCTAGAGTTGGCCAGAAAATATTTTAATGGTCCCAAATAAACGAATCTCAAGGCTGCATTTCTATGTTCTTCCCTACTCTTACTATTCATCACTTTAAAGGCCCACTGTTGCAAGAAAACACTGCTAGGTGGTGTTTACAGTGGTTACCTTTTATTGATATGGTTTAAACATATTTTCCAAAAAAAACAAACTGTTTTAACTGTTTAGAAAGTGTTAGCTGTAAATAAGATACTTTGTTTGCTGCTTACTTAAAATCCATCTAAATCTACAGGTCCATCTAAAACCACCCTGTCCATAGGTTGACAACACTGCAGTGATTTTGCTGCAAAAAGAACAGCTATGTCATTCTGTATACGACTGCATCTTGTATGTCACTTTTGGTTTTGTTCCACTTTAACTACTTTCTCCTGAAATCTATGCCATCACTCTTATCTATTGCTTGTAATGTTTTCCCACATTTGCAGTGTACGTTCTCTTCAGCTGGGCTCTCCTCCAGTGCATGTCTTTGGAGGTATTATGTTTAGGTTTATATTTACAACCTAACACTATTGTACATTGCTGCATAAAATGTTGCCACTTTATACGTAATAGAAAATAATAATGATAAGAATAAACTTTTTTTTTCTCAACATAAAAACAGGCTTCCTTAAAAGGTTATACATCCTCACTCAGTGTCAAGGTACTAGGGGGCTTACCTCTCCTCGGGGTAGCCATGTGCGGCGGGGGGCACGGGTTCCCCTTCCTGGCAGGACCCCTGGTACCAGGATTGTGGGTACGCATTCGCGACAAGTGCGCGGTGGACAGGCTGCGCGCGCAAGCACGGGGACATGCACGTAGTGCACCTGTTACTGGTATCAGGTGTGATCCTTGCTGGGGGAGGTTCCCAGCACACACCCTCTGCCCCTCTCTCGCCATTGGCTCCTGATGGAGAGGCTACCTGGTTGCCTCGGTAGCCGGGGAGTGGTCTTAATCCTCCATATAAAAGCCCAGTCAGAGCCCTGGCTCATTGCTGAGTTATTCTATCCCTATGGTGTGATCTCCCAGCTCTCTGTGCCTTGAACCTGTCTTTATTCCTGAATCTCTGCTTGGACTCTTGATTACCGACCCTTTGGCTTACCCTTCCGTTACTGAAACTAGCTGCCTGCCTCGACCCGGATTGGACCTGACTATTCTTCTTGGATCTTCCCTGTGTACCACGACCTCAGACTTTGGCTTGCCGCCCCTGCCAAGGGGTTCCACTCACGGCCCAGCCGTACCCCCCTGACACTCAGGATTGATTTTACTTTGTACAGAACTTTTTGTAGCTATTGTTTTATTAAGGCTGTGGATATTACAGATATTGATCATTTACCACGCTACCTGTTTTAGACAGACATTTACTTTAGACTGAATTTGGCCAAGAACAGTGTAAATATTCTTTTTATAAACTTCAGATTTCCATAGTAGACGGTAGCCAAATCTTTCTAGCGCAACACTTTTGAAGACTCCAGTGCCAACTTGATGTATTATTATGCCAAAACATAATCTCCATTTATGGGACAGCAAGGTTATCATAAATATCTGAAAGTGCTGCAGCTACATGTATTTGTATTAGTCTGACAATAAATCTGAAATAACATAATGCTGACTACAAATATCACTCACTCTGAATAATTCTGTTTAACCAGTTCAGCTCTCACACCTGTACACCCACATATGGACCAGACAATTTTTAAATTTCTGCTTTGGGCCTGTTTTTTCAGCAATATATTTGCCATTACTTACGATAACAGAGTAATACATATATTGTTTTTTAGGAAAAACAAAGCTTTCTTTTGGTGGTGGCAGAAATTATATTTTTTTATCCAATTCATAGACAAAAAAATTAACAAGTCTAAAAAAAATTACTTTTTTATAATTTGATCAGACTTAATAATTATTATTTAATTATATTATTATTCGTTCAATTATGTTTATTCAATTATCATTATTGCTGAAGATTATATGTAGAACTTTTTCTTTTATTCTTTAATTTGTCCTGTTTAAAATAACACTAAAATTATGATTTTGGTACAAAGCATTGCAAAGTTATTTACAAGCGAAATAACGTTTTTTTTTTTCAATATTGCACTTTTTTTTAAACACAACACTGAAAAAAATGAACAAAACAAAAATGTCAAAAGTTTAAGGATTTATGGTTAGAAAAATAGAACTAAACAAACAAAACATCACCAGGAAAATAATAGTTAGGGGGAAGGAGTTAATTAGGGTAAACTAAGGAGCTAATAAGGGGTTAAATAGGAACACATTTTATTTAAAAAAAATACCCCCAAAAAGCTCATCCCTCTGATCTGCAGATAAATGAAACAGAATAGATACAAATGTAACAATGTTACTTTGTATCTATATCATATCTGAACCCAGAGTTTTTTTAAACACTGTATCAGACATGCCATTTTTTGACAGCCAAGAATAGCCAGCAAGAGCAAGGTGGGGAGCAGCAGTGGGGCAGGAGAACAGGGTGTACTATATATACTCTGTGTGCTTGAATCCCTACCTTTCGAGCCCTTAATTATCCAAAAGAATCCAGTCCCAATGTTATATTGTTGGAAGAATGGAACAGTGAATAACAGTAGAACCAATACACATATTTTAGGCTTATACTGCGGTATCCCATTTAATTGAAAGCTATATCAGTACTGTTGGGTTGTTCTCAGAGATCCGCTATCAGTATTGAAATAATTTTTATGTCAGTGGACTGGGACTTTTCAGGTGCTACAATCATGGTGCCTTGAACAGCCTACCTGACAGGGCCTCCAATAATTTCCAGTATAAGTTGGGGCCTGCAATGACAACCCACAGCAATAGCCACCAGGCCACCGCCCAGCTTCCTGATATCAGGGCACACGGCATCATTATCGGTATCAGCGAGTACCGGTAAAAAAATATTGTTACTTGTACTTAATGCCGAAAAACCGGTATCAGTGCATCCCTAGTTTTAATTATATTAATTCTCCAGTATAACACCT